TGAGAAAATGTGTACTGAGCGCCTAGACTGGTCCCTGGAACATAATGGGTGGTTAACATATGTCAAATAACTCCCCTTCATCATCTGCACTCTCTGGAAAGCCCAATGCAGTGTCTTGCATACACTGAGTGCTCAATAGATATCACGGCTGCATTGAAATAAATTGCTGAATCACCCTCTTGTCTGTTTGACTTCATCTCATATGAGACTCAACCAGGCAATTATTAATTACGCTGGCTTCACATACAATGACATCTACAAAGTGATTACACTTTCCGTCTTTTTTTCAAAAATGAAGGTGGATTCTATTACATGTATTTTTCTATGTCTATTACTTATGCAAGAAACCATTAGCCTGCATTGGTATCATGCTAGCTTTCTGGGTTACTGGTATGAATATTCCAAAATGATACAGTTAGAAGCCATTCAGGATATTAAGGATATCCTTTCACACTAAGGAAAATAGTTTGCCCATTTCTCAGAAGGCTTTAAAAAGGCTAACATTTCAAGAAGGGATGAAATTTTTGTTACCTTTGTTGTCTGAGAATTAAAATTTCGGTGCTGGAGTTTATCTCAGCAGCCCCAATCCCAGGGACTGGCCCCTCACACTCGCCCCGCAAAAGGGCCCTCAGAGAGCACTAACCAGGCAACAACCTAGTTTCAAAATTCCTCCACTTCCTCTGCCTCTTCCTGTGTTCCAGGCCCTCAGGACTTTTCTATCTGCCAGCTGATCTGATAAACCAGTCCAAGTTTTTTTCTTTTTTTTTTTTTTTAAAGAGTGAGATGCTAATGGTTTGTGAGAATGAATTGTACCTCCTTCTTAGGTAATATTGCATTTTATTAGGGATTTCCTGGGCAGACCTACTTATTCAAAGGAATGCCTCTGAGAGTGAGGATTTCAAATCCTATGTTGCCTGATGGATAAATGCTTTGCACCTAGGGGTGTTTTGCCCCCTCAAATCACTTTAGACCTGCTACCAGCAATGTACTTGCCCTTGACCACAAACTCATGTCCTTCACTTCAGGACTTTTCTCCTGAAATTGGCTAGAAAATTTCAGGTAAAGAGAAAATATGATCCTCTTGAACCTTTGTCTCTCTTGTTACTTACTACACTCTCTTGGCTGGGTAGGCAGATCAAAAGACGGTCACAAATGTAGATACAAAACACGTAGGGATCAATGCGGAGCCTACCAAAACATTTGAGGCGGTAAGAACTGTGAGAAACATCTCCTGAGTTAAGTCAACACACCAGGAAAAGGCACCCAACCTCTTCATTTGTATTCTGAACTGCTTTCATAAAAACATACCAAAAGAGTAATTTACCCTAGGAGTCTCCAGTTCAGAAAATTGGCTGTTTGATTTACAAACCCTAGCGAGAACCTAATAGTTGATTAGTTTGAGTCTTCAAAATATGAGTTATGTAAAATATATCTTGTGACGTGTGTGTGTATGCGCTCAAATGAGAGGCTGAGGAGGGAGGGAGGCAGGAAGGGAGAGGTGGAGCAGCACAGACACAAACACACACACACACACACACACACACACACACACACACACGGAGGTACCTTTTGGAAGAGAAAGAAAACTAGAAACAATCCCATTGCCCTTGATGAGGCTGTGCCAGAGTAGCCCTGAGCCCAAATCAAAATTTCAGAGGCAGACTCGGAAAGCTCACACACCCCGAATCTAGTCCTTCCAATGGGTCGGGAAAGAGCTGACATTTACTTCCACTAAATCTCAAGTGCGTCTCCAGGCCACAGACACCCCTTTGTTCAGACAGAAAATTGGAAACAGCTAGTTCAGCAACCCCCTGGCCTGGTGTGCCACAGTTATTAATTGAGAATTAGAACCCAAGTGAGAGGCAGGTAAGGGAGTTCTAAGGGATTCTAGATGGGATTCTGGAACCTCCGGAAAGTCAGGGAGATATTTGCCACAAGGGGGAGCAGGAGAATTTGGTCAGATGGGAGACAATTTGGTAGAGGTTCTGATGAGGGGTCTAACTATGAGGTCTGGATGATTTGGGAAGATATTTTGACAAGAGACATTTATCCCTTAGAAGATCAAAAAAAAAAAAAAAAGGTGACAGGATCAGGAAGTAAAATCATTGCATGTTGCTTAACAAATGTAAAGCAATAAATTAATTTTCAGTTAAAAGCAACATACATACATTCTGCAAACATATAAACCATGAATGATAAGAACTCTCTCATCCTGTTTTAATTGTGTATTTCCTTTTCCAAATTTAATGTCTGTCAGTTTTGATCTTGCCTATTTCCATGCTGATGGGACAGATTGCTTGTTTATTACCTACATGATATTCTCCCTCCACCTGACAGCATCAGAAAGGACTCCTCTCACTGAATTGCAAGATGAACATCAGATGGTAAAGTCCTAAAATGCACTTACTTTGGGAGAAATGTATCCATGAGCTAAATACATGGGGAGTGCAACTTCGTTGGATCTGCAGAGCTTTCCTCATCATTTATTTTGTCAAAGAAATACATTAAGTACTTAGAGGGAAGGAACCATGAGTTTACTTTGCAAGATAAATAAAAGTCTATTTTTGTCTGATAAAAAACATGTTAAATATAGCTTGCTAACAAAATGCTGAAAACCTCTTGGAATTTTATTTTTCTCAAAACATAGTAAGCTTAAAAGAGCAATTAACGTAATTCTTGTAAATAGTCCTGTAGGTATTACTGACTATATTTCACCTCCCTTTTGTAATTTTATTTGGGGTTAAAGTACTCCTACTGCTATGTATTTTATTCCCTTTCATAATGAAGAAAAAGGTTAACTAGTTCTCAATCTTAATCCAAAAAGATACAGTGGAAACCATTAAGTAGTAATAGAAATAAGTAAACAGAAAGACAGATAGGTAGGTAGGCAGATAAATTGACAGATAAAGCATAGCCTGCATATTCTTTTAATTCATTTCTTACTCTCCCAGCCCTGTTAAGCTTGCAAAACAGAGTAAATGGAGTATGATTGTCTTGGGCATGAACATCCTTTGCAACATCTGCACAGTTCAATAATAAATAATAGTTTACCTTTGTGCAGTTTTCCCCCCCTAGGAATTAATCATTCCATATTTAATGAAAGACAACAGCCATTTGAGGGGGAAAAAACAGGGATCCTTTTATTGTGGCTGGGAGAAATCTTAGCTAAAGAGGCCTTAGATCCAAACAGAATTCCTCAAGCAGGCAGAATTTATAAAACGAGAACCACTTAAGAAGACACATCTTGCTTCTTAAGGAAATAAGAGGGTCTCCCTCCCCCCACCCCACCCCGCCGGCCCTTTTCACTCACAAGGCCCCCAAAATGGAGCTAGCTCTCCCTTCCTTCCTCCTTTCATACCTGCCTAACCTTCTAATTAAGCAAGTTTAGCAACACCAGAGCTAAATCCAAGTAACACAGAATTTGAAAAAAGAACCTAATAATAATCATCCCTGTCATGGTTTTGTTTTCTTTTCTGAAATGAATGAAACGTCTAGTTACATCTTTCTTTCTCTTTTCCTGACTTGCTGCGGGAATAGCTTTGGGAGAGAAAGAGAAAGCATGTGAGGCTGTGTGTATGTGTGTGTGTGTGTGTGTGTGTGTGTGTGTGTGTGTGTTCAGGGCATGGGTGGGACATGCACTTTGTGAATTCCCTCCTGGTTGCTCCCAGTCTCCCTTAGGAAATCACACAGGAGCTGGAGTGTGTATGTTCCATTGCTCATATTTGGAGATTCTCAAGCTCTGCCTTTACCCAGATCTGATCAGAATCTCCACCTACTCGGCCAGCTCCTCCATGATGGAGATGCCTGTACTGTCTTTACCATATCTGTCATTTTTTAAAAAGCTTCTTCCACTACACCTCCTACTGATATCCTTTTTTCTCATTTTAGTCTTTACACCTCCAGCAGGACAAAGTTTGTATTGTTATATTCACAACCACTAGTGGCTGACTACCAGGAGTGAGAGCGCGCCAGCAAGGGAGTCAGGCTAAGGGCTGGAGGGTGGTTAAAACAGATTCCTAGTGCAAAGCATGACTTTCCAGTGACTGCGGACACCATGCACATCGCTCTCTGTGAAAAATTCTTTGTTAAATTTGATCACTCTGCCGTCAATCCAACCACTGCCACTTTGTCTGGAGAGGGAAATACGAATCACCAACCCAAGCCATTCATCAGTCAACAGAATCCAAGAAGGGAGGGGGATTTAAAAAATCACGGATGCACACAGAAGCCTCGCCTGGGCGGATTTGGTTTCTTTAGCCGACTGTCCACCCATAAGACCTCCCTCTTCTTCATTAAGGTGGAGCCAAGAAGGGTATCCTCATATCTCAAAAAACAGACCGTTTCCCTAAAGCTCCAGGGGCAGATAATGCAGCTGCAAAGTTCCCTTCCAATCTCTTGAGGGAAAAAGCCTGTGCGTGTAGAATCCCCAAAGCACACTCCGGCACAGCGCCCAGAAAAGGGGACCCTTCAGCCCACTCCCCGCTGCATTTTTCCCTGCCTGTCTCCGGCCCGGGCCACACCTCCCTTTGCTCCGCAGTCCGTGGCGAAGGAGCACCCAGCGCTGGATGGAAAAGAGGGAACTCGCAAGTATGCCCTTGAGGAAGACCCCAGGGATTACCAGGAGCAGGGATGACCGCGGAGCCCAGTTGGTGGGGACGCCGGGATCCCCAGCAGCGCTGCATTCCGGGTGGACTTAGATCTTCGCGCCCTCCGTGATCAGAGCCCCGTGCCGCGCAGGGTGCAGCATCTCCTGGGCAGCCCTTTCTTCCTCCGGCAGCCGGCACTGGCAGGGAGGCACACTCACGCCCAGACGCACGAGCCCGAGCAATCGCACTCCCCGAGAAGCCCGGACACCCCGGAAAATGTGTAGCAACACACCCGCAATTTAGGAGCCGGTCCTTTGTCAGAGCGGAGGGAAGTGTAGCCTTATGAACAACAAATGGAAAATAGTTGGCGGTACCGGACCAAAACCCTCCTGCTTGCCCATCATAAGATCCTACCTGGTTTGGGGGAGTGTGGATGGATCTTCCCCCCGTTCCTCCACGCTAGTAGGAAAAACGGCACACTCCCTCCTTTTAAATAGCTCCCGATTAGGAAGAGGTCGCTCCCATCTTCATGGGGAAGCACAAAGCAGGCGACGGCGGGCAGGCTCCCGTGCTGGGCAGGCTCTCGTGCAGAGCCGGCGCGAGCAGGAGCGGCGGCGGCGGGCAGCCGGTGCGCGCGGGCGGGAGGCAGGCGCGGAGGCCCGGAGGCTGGGAGGGCCGGGGCCCGGGCGGCGCGCGCGCTCTCCCTCCCCCCCGCGCACACTCGCCCGCCCGCCGCCCGGGGCCTCGCACAGGCTCACACGCGCGCTCGGCCCCGCCGCTGCCGCGGCCGGCCGAGGCCCCGAGCCCCAGCCCTGTGCGCGCCCCCAAGCCCGGCTCCTTAGGGCACCGCCTGGGAGTAGAGCCGGAGAGTTTGGGGAGCACTGAGCGGGTGGGGAGCGCTTCCAGCCGCCCAGCCTCTGCCGTTGAGATTTTTCCTATTTCCTCCGGGCTGTCGGCCCCGCAGTGCGTTGTGGTCGCGCGCTAGCGCTCTCTCCCGCACCCAACCCATCGGGTACACGCACACACCCGCGCTGCAACTTTTCTTTTCAACCTTCCTCGCTTCACCCACAGACAGAACCCCAACCCCAACTCGCCTACCCGTTTCTCACCTCTGAAATTGTTAATCTTCCTTCCTTCACTTTCTATCCATCTGCTAAAGAGATCTGGGGATGTATCAATGATTTTCTCTTAAATTCTCACTCCGTGTTTTTCCTGCATATCAGACATGCACAGCAACACGCTGGCTAGTAGCTGCTGACGCAAGCAGATAAGGCTGTTTGGGGGGCGGGAGGGGGCGGTTGGGAGGGGCAGAGGTATTTCCCAGCCAAGAACTCTGAAAGATTCTCCGTGTTGGTATTTCCCTCAGACTGCAGCTCACCTGGGAATAAAGACCAAGAGGCTGTTTAATGCGAAAGCCACGCAGCTTTTCAACTACAGAGAGGAGTAAAAGCTGAGCATTAAGGTTCAGTTGGGAAAGATCTAATGCAGAAATCGACGAACCATTCATTGCCCTTTCCAAGAGAAGCATTATCATTGCCAATACATCACTTCCCCATAATTAATAAAGGAGCATTGCACCAGGCCCTTGCTCTCTTGACAGCTCATTCATCCTTACAAATCCTTAATGACTTGGCAGGATGAAAGGCTAGACCTACTGTGGAGTTCACAAACGTGGCTGAGCATCAGACTCTTGGGAAAGCTTGTTAAAGATGTAGATTTCAGCGTCGGATCTTGAGACTCATATGTAGCTCTCAAGCGGGACTCCAAGTTGTATTTTTATTTCTTGTCTTAAAAGATTGTATTACTTATTTCTAGAGAGAGGGGAAGGGAAGGAGAAAGAGAGGGAGAGAAACATCAATGTGTGGTTGCCTCTCTCGCGCCCCAAGTTTGTAAACTTTAAAGCACCAGTAAATATTCGCTGCTGATGTGGTTGGCCAAGGTGTGGGGGTAGGGGCCGGGGACAGCTACCTGGAGAAGGTGAGAGAAGGGAGAACTGCAGAGCACAAGGCAGAAATTAAGTTTCTTAAACAGAATTCTTCCCAGTACTTACAGTGCAGCTGTGAGGCAGCCAGCCCACAGGAAAAAGAGATTCTGAGCAGGAACCCCACTGTTCGACTAGGAGGCAAACAATGGAAGCAGCTCTCCTCCGCTTCAATGCGAGACGCTCTCAATCCTTACCGCACCTTAAATTCTCCTGGGGAGCTTTCCAAAGTCCCAGTGCTTAGGCCACACCCCAGACCCATTAACTTGGAATCTCTGAGGGTGGGACCCAGAGACCAGCAACTTTTTAAAAAAATGTTTCCTGGTTGATACCCATGTAACATAGGTTGAAAGTCACTGTTCTAGGCCAATATTCCTTAAACAAGAAAGTGCTGTGAATAACCTGGGGAGTGTCCTTTGTTAGGCAGTAGATCTGGGCAGCCCTGGGATCCGCACTTTTGCATCGCTTACATTCAGGTGATGCTGCCTGAACAAGGCCCTCACTTTAATTAGCAATGGTCTGTTGAATTCCAGCCAGTGGTTATGGACCCTGGGCTTGGTGGGGGAATTCCAAGCTTCTTCTTATATATTCCCAGGAATCATTCCTCTCTAAGGACATTTTTCTTTCCTCAGGCTGAGTTAAATTTTCTGGGAAGCCACTGTACACACAAGCTTTCTGTTATACTGCACTGGCTAGGGGGTGTGAACAGGATCACACATGGGGAGACCCAAGTCACCAGCTCTCTGTTCGAGTATGTCTTTAGCCAAAGATTACTTAGGGTGTTGAATTTAAGGGAATGTAAAAAGGGCTGACATTCGGCTCACACTCAACAAAAGGGGCTTGGAGAGAAAAGCAGCTTTTTAAATGACACAGAGAAAAGCATATTTAAGTAAAGACCTCACCCATAGGAAATGGGACAAAGCTAACTGAAGGAGCTGAGTGAAAGAGCTAAATGAAAAAGTGAATGGAGTACATCTCATTGGAATAAAATGTATGGAAAGGGTGTGGTCTATTATTGCTATTATGGACCACTTAGTGAAAGCTCAAATTTTCCTGAAAGTGTAAGCATGCTTGTGAAGTGGGGTAAAGAAAATCCGTTCTTAGCATCTTTATCTCAGTGGTCCGTGAACTTTTATTCCAAAGTCCATCTTGTCAGTAGCCGAGAAGGCATGAAGGCTATACCTTGGGCCTCTCTTCCTTCTCTTTTCCGACCTAGAATGACATCAGATCAACTTGGATGATCAGGAAAACACCTCCATTAACTGGTCCTCTCTTTACCTAGAACCTTGAAAGGCGGCCTAGTGCCTAGTGATTTGGTGCCCTTTCTGAACTGGCTCAATTTTTGAACCCCTAATTTTTATTTTGCCTTTCATTTCTCAGTAAAGGCATCTATATGGCTTCCAGAGCCCGGAGGCAAATTGAACCTTTTGCTCCCTCCTAAATGTCAAGCATGACTGGATTTTTATTGCAAGAATTATCAAAGGCTACATCACTGGCACAAGGCTCTGGCTAAGGACATTGTGAGGCTGCTGCAGGCTGTGGCTTTGGAAAGAAGAAATATTGTTTGTACGGAAGTGGTGATTTACATTCCAACGGCAACAGTATTTCTTAATTGTATTCTTGAATATTAATTGCCATTCTTTCCTTTGGATTTGAGATTCAGAGTTATGGGTTTCCACTGTTATGTGTCCAAGCGTGACCATTTGGGGACTCCATAAGAATATCACTAAGATTTGATATATTCTTATATCAAACATGGTTCAGATGTTCATGAACTACTTTCCTGCAAATCTTCAGGAGATTTTAGTCAACTCATTTTAAGACCAAGTATAAAACTTGTGAATTAGGTCTAACTTTTTTATCCAGGCTATGAAAAAATTAGGTCTATGATCAGTGGTGCCACAATTTTGAAAAAATATTTATTTTACTAAAACACCCAATACTTTTTTATTACAGGGAAAATTCACTTTGTTAAAACATAATTCCTTTCTGTTTAGCGTGAAGTACTTAGGTCAGAGGTACCATTGCTGTTTTTTCAGTGCTTGGTGCTTCTTAAGTGTGTTCCTATAGAACCAGTCCTTCCCGGCCTCGTTTACTCTGCTCATTCCCATCTCTGCTCATTCTTGGTCTGATACCGATTTCTATATAAGAGAAACATATTATAATGCCCTCAGCCGGGCCAGCTGGTGGGACTTAACATTAGCCATTTCCTGCAGAGGGACCCTCAGGTGGGTCTCTGGCCCCATTTGTCCCTTGGGGCTTTCTTTGCTGCTGATGGGATCCAGGGGTTTCTGGTTCAGGGGGTGGCAGGATTCTTTGTTTACTAAGTGCTGTTATTCCTTCTTTGAGGTCTTATTCCTACAATTCCACTCTTACTTCTCTGTTTTGTTCTGACTGGTTGAGTGCCACCGTGGAACCCCATCCAGCAAGCGGGCGCTGCTGCTGGGTGGCAGCAGCCTTACTCATAGCCTCCCAGCTATCACCCGTTCTCCCCTGGGTCCCACCGCTGTGAGGTGACCCACTTCCTAGGAATCTGTCACAGCCTTTGGATAGCAGGTGCCTGCACTTTTGCGTTTGAGAAATTATAGTCAGGGTTGGGCTTGTACAAGATCCTAGCACTTTCGTTCCATATATTTACCTCTTATTATATTAAGGGCACATCTAGTCTGTATCTCACCACTTTTCCAATGGTAAGGTTGCCAGTGAGTCACTCAAGAGCAAAGTCATTATCTAGAGCAACTAGTGGGTCAGAAAGGAACAGAGACGAGTTAAGAATTAAGGCTTTGGAGTTAGAATACCTGGAGTCAAAAATATCACCTCTAGCCATGTGACCTTGGGGAAGTTTCTTATTCTCTCTGAGTCACAATATCTGTCTGCAAAATCTGCATGGTAAAGTCTCCTTCAGAGAGTTGTAGGGAAGATAAAATGTATTAATGTGCTTGACATAGTTCTTCATCATAGTAATTATTCATTAAATGGTGTTGTTTTATAATTATTGGTAAAGTTCCATAAAAATGATATTCATTAAGTTGAAAAAAGTTTCTATGTAATTAGGTTCCACATATTCGGACTATCTCATTATTGATAATAATTATGCTATCATTTTTGTTATACAGAATTGTGTACAACAAATAATCCAGGAAAAATGGATGCCTCCACAGCATGAAAATACTTCCCCTGCAACAATAGCCTACAATAAAAGAAGCTACTTGAACACTTTCTGATTGTGTAAGTACAGGGTGTGGTTATGTGACCGATAAGGGGGACACCACATTCTGGCCAAATCACAGCATTTCTTTTCTTTTATGTCTGGATATCAACTTGGTCCCATCTCTACTATAATCTGAGGGTATAATTTCCAACAGAGCTATTTTAAACTCCACTACAATGAAGATTTGGGTTATCACATTAATTTTATTAAGAGGGGACCATATTAAAACAAAAACTCCTTCACTGAGGTTGCACAAACCTTGCTCAATATTGATTTAAGGACTCTCTATCAGTAGGGATCAAGATGATGCCCTGGGATGGTCTGTACCAGACCATTGTTCCTTGCAATCCAATTCTGAAGCAATGTCCCTGAGAGATTGCACTTCAGTTTTTTCAATACCTTCCTTGTCTAAGACATTGTCTGTGATGTATAGCTTCTG